TATATACATATTACGGTATACATATATATATATAATATATATATATATATACATTTATATATATACACATGTCATACACACACATATATTATACATATTATATACACATACACACATACATATAAAGGTAAATAATTTTTACTATACAAAATATTTTAAGGCAGTTCATCAATGATAGGATCGGTACTCTTATTACTTCATGGCCTATATTGCATGTATATTGTAAAACATTTCATTTCATTTATTTATTCGACCAATACACATTTACAAAAGGTACAGTACAACAAAAATCATGGTCAGGGGCAGCTTAAGCAAAATTTTGAGAGTCAGCTGCCCCATATATAATATAATGTTAACATATAGACTAGGCTAGACCTAATCAATTTTTGATACCATAATGTCATCTATCGATAAAAACATCGATTCGATTAATTAAAAGCAGCTGTTCGCACTGTGGCAGTGCCGATAGAAAACAGCAACTTTTTCGCACTGCGGCAGTGCCGATAGAAAACAGCAGCTTTTTGGCACTGCGGCAGTGCCGATAGATAACAGCAGCTTTTTTTTTTCGCACTGCGACGATAGCCACTACCTGGAAGAAGAGAAGGCTACAAACCTCTTGTTATTCTTACTTTTTAGGCCGGTCAGGATTCAAAGCTAAAAAATCATCATGGCTGATGAGGGAAGATTACAAAAAATGGAAGTTGATTACACTGAAACTGTAGATAAACGGTTGCCAGAATGTGAAAACCTAACTAAGGTAATTTGAAAGTACTACAGGCCTATTTAAAAATTGTCTAGGGTAGGGCTAAGCCTAGCCTAGATAGCCTAGGCTAGGCTTAGAATACGTAGGTAGATTGGATCGTCTCGCGACAGAGAAACTGATGTGACTCAGCAACAAACGGAAGAGATGGTCTCATACAGTAACCTTACCTACATTTCTTACAAACCAACATATGCACAGTGCTTTCTAGATAGACCACAGAACAACATACATACTATTCAATTCAAATAAACATTTATTTCTTCACACTTTTACAAATTATAAAATTAAACAATCGGATTTTATTTTTAAAAAGGATTGTGTTAAATAAAAAAAGAAGGCACTGCTGAAAAAGTATAGTGATGCCAAATGAAAAATAGACAAAAAGAAACACTGTTCAATTTATCAAGTCGCACTATGTTGTAGTGAGCAACCCATATTAAAAGAAAGGATAAATGTTGTTAAATAATAATTCAAGGGTGAGTTCATTAAAAGTTTGAAATCACTATATTGAATATTTGTGTTGGATTAAAGTAAGTTTGGGTTGAGGAAGGTGAAGTTGTCACTATTTTTGGTGTTGAAGGATGTAAAAACTCAAATAAGTACATAAACTGTTGTTTTTTAAAATATTTTTTTTTCTCTTTATTTAATTAAAATTCTTGATGTTTTACCTTTAAACTTAGTATGAAATACATTTGTAAATTTAATTGATGTAAGTATCTCTGTGATTGTTACTTGTTATATTATTATTATTATTATTATTGTATTGTTACTTTTTATTTTTATTATTTGATTTTCATTAATATTATTATTTGATTATTTTTAATATTAAATATTAATATGGAATATATTTTATTAATAATATTATCATTTTTATTAAGTCCTATAATATAATCATTATTATTTTATTACCTGTACTATTTTTGCAAATTATTATTATTTATTATTGTTATCTCTTAAAATTAGTTTCTCTGTTAATATATGCATTTTTTTACATTAATATTATATTGATACAAAAAAAGTTAGGGATTATGAAAGTATAAAATCATATTAAAGAAAAATAAATAAATGTAAAATAAAAGAAACAACATATAGTGACAATAATATTACATACTCCAATTCTATCTTAAGGAAAATTTAAATAAAGGTCATTAAGCAAAATGTGGGCCCAGCCTACTTCATTTTACTAACTAGCCATAGTAGGTCTTCAGTAAGCCGGGGACATACCCAATCCCATCAACTTATACTCCTCCTTAAGCCTTTTATTTATGATCAAATAAAATTGTATTAGGTGCCAATGGCTGAATTAAACACAATTGTACATTGTAAAAACATCTGAAGTTAAAAACCAGTCAACATTGACGAAACAAATTATACAGAAAAAAGACAAAAGCATTTATTTTCAATTCTAAAATATACAATTAATTAATCAAACGGTCAATTACAATACGAAACAATTGCAAAGGTACCGAATGCTTCAACAGTTAATGATTTAAGGCCAATATCTTTAACTCCGATTTTTGCGCGAGTTTTTGAGTCTTTCCTTGTCAAATGGATTACCAATGACATCAGTGGTGTGATTGATCCAAAACAGTTTGGTAACGTTAAAGGTTCTTCAACCACTCATTACCTGGTTGATATGCTTTACACACTGTTATCTGAGCTTGATAAACCAGGAAACTTTGGAACGATTTGCACAATTGACTTTTCTAAAGCTTTTGATTATGTTAATCATAACGTTGTTATTTGCAAGTTAATTAGCTTAGGGGTTCGTAGATCCATATACTGTACCCTGTCTTTTATACACATCTAGATGTGTATAAGAGACAGCCATAATGTCATCTATCGATAAAAACATCGATTTGATTTAACAGCAGCTGTTCGCACTGTGGCAGTGCCGATAGAAAACAGCAACTTTTTCGCACTGCGGCAGTGCCGATAGAAAACAGCAGCTTTTTGGCACTGCGGCAGTGCCGATAGATAACAGCAGCTTTTTTTTTTCGCACTGCGACGATAGCCACTACCTGGTGCACTTATTAATGATGCTGTAATTGATTACCCACACCGTTGGAAGTATATTGATGATCTAACTTTGGGGGCAATAACTAAAGCCTGGGCTTTCACTGGTGATTCAAAATGTACTATCTGACCTTGACCAATGGTGTAAAATGAATGATATGATTCCTAACCAGGCTAACAAATCGTCATTCACATCACAAACTAACACAATCAAAGTAGATTGTGTTAGTTCGTGAAATCACAGTAGTGCGTCAAAACGAGCGCGTATTGGTTGTCAAGCAATTTTGTATTCTTTACCACACAAAAAGTCCTTAACAACAACAGCGTGTATTTTGACGCGCTTTTTTGATTTCACGATTTAACAAATTGAATTTAATTGTGTTAGTTCGTGATGTGAGCGACGAAATGTAAAGCTATGCATGTGTCATTTCTAAGATCTAAACCTGATCATCCTGATTTAGTTCTTGACAATTCAACTCTTAAAACTGTTGCCACACTTAAACTTCTTTGTTTAACTATACAAAATAACTTAAAATGGGATATCCATGTTGAAGAAATATTGCTCAAAGCCTCCAAAAGGCTTTTCTCATTGTACATCTTGAAGAAAGCGAACGCTTCCATAATTGATTTAACTGCAGTCTACACCACTTACATTCGACCTCTCTTAGAGTATGCTTGTCCTATTAATTATTGGTTTTCATGCATATTCTACATACTCAAAGGCTTTAGTTAGACTTAACCTTAATACACTTGCTTGCAGACGTTTAGAATCACATACTCGCTTTGAAACAGTATTCGTGAATCCCAAAGATTTAGATACTTTTACCCAACAACACTGAGGATTGTAGGTCATCATTAAGAAATGCTAAACAATTTTCAATAATGAAATGCAGGACAGAAAGATTTAAAAAATCATGTATTCCATCTATAATAGCAATTTTAAACAATGAATCTTAGAGCGTTTTATCTATTTTAGATATACAATGACCTTTTTTTACAGTATTTTATAGATGCATCGAATTTATCGTAATTTTATAATAATGTTTTTATTCTATTTCTTGTTTTAATGATGTTTGTGTTCTTTTGTGCAATTTTTAAAATTTTTTTTATTGAATTTTCATTAAGTGTTTGTAACCGTGCCATTTCAGTTTTTTAACTGCCGGTCATGGATGTGTGTTTTTTATACCGAAATAAATAAAAGAAAAATTTAAAAAAAACAACATATTAAGAGTAATTTGACCTTTCATTTACATGCAGCCCAGGTGGCCAGGAAAGCAAACATTAGTGCTCATTTAACTTTCTGGACAGAAGTTGATTATTTACAAAGCAGATGATGTTGTTAGACCTACTTGGAGAATAACAGGAGTTGATTATTTACAAAGCAGATGATGTTGTTAGACCTGCTTGGAGAATGCTAGCTTATTAGTATGCATGTTTGTGTTTGGCAAGGATGAAGAAAACTTGTTTTGAACAGTCTTCATTTTTTATATTTTTGTATCCAATCAGCAGCCTTATTGTATGTTTTACATCATAGATTGAGATTAAAATATTGTTTTAAAATTCAATCTTTTAGGAAGGGAAACTAAGTGAAGCTCTGGAATCTCTCTTGTCACTTGAGAAGCAGACAAGAACAGTAAGTTTAACTAGTTTAATATCTAAATGCTTCCAGGACGTACATGCTTCCGCCTGTCAGTGGTGCTTATTTTCTTTCGTTCATATCCCTTTTTCTTATTTTTATTCTTAATTGGTGAAAACAAAACACAGTTGGATTTTGTGGGCACATGAATGGGCTTGATGACTCTGGCGGCACCATACAGTAGATCCTTGAGGAGGGATCCATAGTCTGTGATGTGGAATTCATACTCATCTCAGCCCCACACAAAGATGTGTTCCCCGACAAAATGACTGGCTTCTACAGTATCCCAACAAGAGTCCAGGGTTCCCAAACTGTGGTTCTGTCCTTCCTAAATTCCTATAATGCTGCCACTGCACGATGACATATCACAACCATATATGGACATATCACACCTATATATGGGCCAATCACATACTTTGTCACCTTGCATTTAGTACATCCATTTCCCTGAAGATTGTATTCTTATTCTTTTTTTGTATGTATGTATACTAACCAAACATTGGAACATGTTCTAGTTATCAGAATCAGTTAAAATTATGCTGCAGGTCCCATGATGGACCAAAAGTATGTTGACCAACTATATTTGTGGCAAAGACAAGCCAAACCATGTCACTCGTCGCAAATCCTGTTTCAGAGATAATGACCAAAACATGCTGGAATGTCAAAATTTTTAAAATCTATTTAATTGCACTCGCCTTGGCCTCGCCCCCTGGAATACTTTTAAAAAAAATTATGAGTGATGCCCGACCATGCCCGCTTTTTTTCATTGAGGACATCAGCTCCCTCTTCGGGCAAATTCCGGCACCACCACTGGTTCCAACGTACATGTATGAACAGATCTGTTCACTATATTTTCATCTGTTTTCTAGGCAGCAGATATGCATTCAACTGCCAGAGTTCTGATAGCAATTGTACGTTTGTGCTTCGAACAGACTGAATG